GCTTGGGGGGGGGGGAGAATAGGCACAATCAATACACAGAGATAGAACTCGGATTAGTGGTTACCTTTATGGGGTACAGATTTTGAAAGGGCATGAGAGCCCTTTGTGGGCACTGGAAATATTACATTGTGACCTAGGTGACTCCTAGTTGAGTATATCTATATATATTTAAAATTTGTGTACTATACTATATGTATGCTCTACCTGAATAACAATTCAAATAAATGAATAGATATATATTAAAGTGGGTAGAACAACTACATCCACATCATAGGGATGTTAAGGAAATTACATGAGATAACACCTAAATTAATTAGCATAGTACCTATCTTCCTTCTCCTTTCCTTTTGTTTTTAACTACCATGGGTGCATGAATTTTATTTGAATATAAGCCAAATCTCATTTTATGGGAAAAGCAAATGATGGCATCCAATTAATAGAAATTTTGTGTTTTTGTTATAAGTAAAACACTTCTTAAAAAGAAAGTAGATCTTTCTTTTTAAGAATTTTAACATAGATTGCTTGCTTCTTAATAAATTGATTTAGCACCATGTAAAGTTAAGTTTGTACGGATGCTACCAAGATTATTTTCACCCATTATATGAATGACTGATTTAAAATTTTAGGATTACTAGAAAGAAGTGGGCTTGTCAACCAAATTAAGCCTTCAAATTAGAAAAAGAAAGTCTTAGAAAAATTTAAACTCTCTACAGAAAGTGTTTAATGCTGAGTTATTTCAAACTGTAGGTGCAGTCTTACTGAAATCAAATTTTACAAAGGTTATTTTAATCCCACAAATCACCAATGAGAATACTTATGTGATTACTTTAAAAGTATTCCTAACTGCTAATTTGAGTCTAGTATATAACAGATATTTTCAAATGAACTCTGGCCTTGACCATTGAAAATTTGCTAAGGGCTAAAGTTTGAGTTATGCAATATGAATACATGCTAATGTATGACAATGTGATTATAGTTAACAATAACAATACTGTATCTTATACTTGAGATTTGATAAGAAGGTAGATCTTAAATGATCTTATCACAGAAAAAAAGAAGAAATTGGTAACTATATGAGGTGATGAGTATGTTAATTGGCTTGATTGTGGTGATTATTTTACAATGTATACTTAAATCATTAAGTTGTACACTTTAAACATGTACAGTTTTTAATTGTCAATTATACTTCAACTAGAGGCCCAGTGCACAGATTTGTGCACCGGTGGGGTCCCTTGGCCTGGCCTGCAGGGACTGAAACCAGCTCTCTGACATCCCCTGAGGGTCCCGGGGCTGAAACCGGCTCTCTGACACCCCCTGAGGGGTCCCGAATTGCGAGAAGGTGCTGACCAGCCGAGGGACCCCAGTGGTGCACTATTGATCAGGGCAGGGGAGGGACCTCCCAAGGGCTCCAGGGCATGTCTGGCCCTTCCTGCTCAGTCCTGATCAGCTGGACCCCAGCAGCAGGCTAACCTACTGGTCAAAGCATCTGCCCCCTGATGGTCAGTGAACATCATAGCGACTGGTCAAATGGTCGAACAGTTGGACACTTAGCATATTAGGCTTTTATTATATAGGATGTATGCTCTACCTGAATAAAAATTCAAATAAATGAATAGATATATATATATTAAAGACAAGAAATTTACTGAGGGGCACAGATCTCTCAGTTGCATCACTGTGTGCAGCTATGCTCTCTCAACTAGAGACTTTAAACTCATTGGACTTGCTATACTATAGAGAAGTAAAAAGAAAAGGGGAAGGGTAGGGACCAACTATGATATAAATAAAGTGGTCAGAGAAGGTCTTTTAAAAAGATAACATTTGATCAGAGACCTAGAAAAAATTGAATTAGGCCATGCAAATATATGAAGGAAGAATATTTTAGGCAGAGTAATGAAGGCACATGCCCTGAGATGAGAATAGGCATGACATTTGAGGAAATAAAGGGGCTAGTATATATTAATAAAACAAATTGAGAGATGTGAAGAATGGAAAAGTTGAAGTCAGGGGACCAGATCAGTTGAAGTCAGTAGTAGAGGCCAGATCATAAGAGCTGTGAAGTACATTGTAAGCATCTCATTTCAAAGCCCCACAACACGCCATCATGAGAGTGAACGAGTGGATAGTAAAGGCAGAAGTTGGACAACTTCTTGGATGTTCCTGCAGTAATGCAGATGAGAGTTGATGGGAGTTTACACTAGTGTGTTAGGATTGGAGGTGGTGAGAGTATGAGATTCTGACAATATTTTGAAGTTAAAGCTAAAGGAATTTGCTGATAGGTTGGATGTAGGGTGTGAAATAAAGAGAAGAGTCAAAAATGAGTCAAAGTTTGGGGCCGCAGAAACTGGAAATAATGACTTCAAAATGAGTGGGCTTGTCAGGATGGGAAATCAGGAACTCGTTCACTTACGTTGGAAATGACTCTTAACCAGTTCATGATTAGTCTACAGAAGCTGAGCCAGAACCAGTGCCCATTTAGAGAAGCATTTGGCCTCCAGAGATTTTTGTTACCTGAAAGGTAGCAGAAAAATCGAAGAAAATGTGAGAGTTAAATCAGTGAAAATGAATACTAAATTGATTGTTTTGTTCATTGTCTCACATCCATTGATCCTTTCCAACTTAATGACTATCACTTTATTATTTCACATCTTGTTCCTCTTCTTCACCTTCTTTATTCTGTTTCATTAGCTCTGTAATTCAAAACTTCAGGCTCCTTCCCTAGATCTGCTCCTCACTATCCTTAATTCTACTTGTCTTGCCAAACTATAATTATGAACCTGGCATGACTCTTTGATTTTGCTTGCTTTTATATTGTACTTTAATTGGATTATACATTTAGTAAATTGGACCAGCACGTGAGATAGATACACATTAGTTCTTAAAATAATGTATTTCCTGTTAATTTGGTAGGAGGAACCAATTCAATTTCCCCCCCAAAATGTTCTTTGTATACCAACTCTCTATAAAATAACAAATAACTACTTTTGACTTTAGTGACACAGTAACCAATTCCTTTGTACCTTTTATTAGAAAGAAAATGTGGACAAAACACTTATTTTAGAGGATTTAGACATTTTTAAGAGGTGGTGAAAAAATGATTTATTTTCCTAATGAAATTTTTACATTAATTATATGGATCATGCTATTATGTTTTTATTAATGGGTAATCTGTCTTGGTCAATGGTTTCTTTATCATTTGAGAGCATTGCTTTAACATGATGAAACAAGTTTAAACTTTATGTAATGGATCACAACAGCAAATTAATGAAACCACCCAAAATAAATATTGTTTGCCCACAGGGATCTATTAAAATGTTTGAGAGGTTCTCTGTTATCTTCACATTTAATTAATAGTCCTTAAAAAAAGAAGGTGTGATAATGTTGCTCACCATCTAGGTTGGGAATCTCTTGGGAAATGCCTTTCCATAAAACCCAGAAAAGTAGTCAAGCACTCCTGCCTCAAAATTAGAGAAACTCTATGAGATGTGATAAATCCTGAGAGCAATATTTATGAAGCTTCATCCCAGATAAAAAATTGTCTTACCTGTCTAATTAGAATGCATAGTACCTTTTCTTGCTTCAATCAAGAAAAATATTTTTCTTCAACTTTAAGACTGCCAAAATAAATCCCAGTTGGTAAAATCTTCTTAACCCTTTGGTTAAGAAGATTCTGTTCTGAATGAGAACTTTTTTTAAGTATAAGATAATTTCTAAAGTCTCAAGCATTAAGTTAATATAAAAACAAATTTCATCCTAAAGTTTTCCAATCTTTCTAGTGTTTTCTTTTGCCCTGAAAAAGATATCTGGGAGTCAATTTTTGGTCCTACTAATTTCTCTTTACTAATGTATTTGAGATATAAGGTAATTATTTTAAATACAATAAAGGTAAATTCTTTCAGATCTGAGGTCATGTTAACTGTAATTAACATTGGATAAGTGAAGTCAGGTGTATATTTTCCATTCACCCTGTTGTTTTTTTAAATCCAATTTTTGTGTAAATTCTAGAATTCACAGAGATATGACCTTTAGATCATGAAATTCTTAGGTGATTTTAGAACTCTTTTGGAGGGACTGTGTCTTTCAGGCAACTATACACAGCATATTAAGCTATGTATAGGACGCAGTGATGGCGAACCTATGACACGTGTGTCAGAGGTGACACGCGAACTCATTTTTTTGTTGGTTTTTCTTTGTTAAATGGCATTTAAATATATAAAATAAATGTCAAAAATATAAGTCTTTGTTTTACTATGGTTGCAAATATCAAAAAATTTCTATATGTGACATGGCACCAGAGTTAAGTTAGGGTTTTTCAAAATACTGACACCGAGCTCAAAAGGTTCGCCATCACTGGACTAGAGTAAGTATTGTAAGCAGAAAGAAAGGGCAAAACAGACACAGGTTTAGCCTTATTGGAACTTAGAAACTTCCGGAGAGAAAGGGCAGAAACACATAAAATATACATGATGGCAAAAATACCAGAGACTTGGGGGAAAAACATTGCTTGCTACATTTCTATAAAGCTGGAAATTACTAGTAAAGTGTGAGGGGCTGAGAGAGAGAGAGAGAGAGAGAGAGAGAGAGAGAGAGATGTGAAAGAGAAAAATCTATTGATTGCCTTCCGCACAAGCCCCAACCAAGGCCAGGATAGAACCCCCAACCCAGGTATGTGCCCTTGACCAGGATTGGAACCTGTGACCCTTTGGCCCATGGACCAATGCTCTAACCACTGAGAAAACTTGCCAGTGCTATACATTTTAATTTTTTATAATGGCTGCATTTAACAATGGACTAGTAAAATATCCTAAAAATTTCACAATGTGTTATCAAGAGCTAGTATGAGCTGGGTTTCCTAAACCACTGAATTCTGCCCCTTCATATTGCTGTTTCAGAGCGTTCCAGATTTGACTCTTTTCTCTCCTAAATAACTTCTTTTGTAGGAGCTCAGAAAATGTCCTGATCTCAGATGACACAGATATGCTAATGATTCCTACATATTCTTTTCTAGCTCAGATTTTTCTCTGTAAAATTCATGCTTCCAAATAGCTACAGAATTCCTGGATGTAGAGATTTCACTGGCATCTCAGACTTATTACCTCCCAAGTCAGCTCCTGCTCCTGTAGTCATTCTGGGCTCCTCCTTTTATCTCACATCCACATCCAGTCAGTCACCAAATTCTACAATTTTACCTGCCAACTATGTTTTGAGTCTATTATTGTTATTCTTGCTGCCCTAAACCAGAATTCTAAATGGTTTTTTGGCTAAGGGTCTTTCCTTACCTCCACCTCTCTTTTTTCTCCTCTTCCAACTTACTCTCCACACAACCGTTGGAGACATCTACTTAATTGCAGTCTGCCTTATCATTCTCTGCTTACAACCCTTCCCTGATTCCTCAGTGTTTATAGGATATAGACCCAATTGCCTAAGGTGGGAGAAATGCTTTCTGTAATCTGATCAATTTCTCTAACCTCAGCTGGGCCTCCTGTGTACACTTTGCTTTCATAATAATTCTGAACTGCTTCAATTTCTATGCATAGCACATTCGGCTGCCTCTGGACCAGAATTCCATGCAAACCCTTTTTGGCTAGTACAGTGATTCATTTCAGGCTTCACCCCTTCTAGGAAGCCTCCTCTGACCTCTTCTCAATGAGCCAGGGTAGATGGGCTTATTCCAGATATACCAAAATAACCCCTGCATATCTGTCAGTTTAGTTGCTTATCAGGTTATAGTCATTTATTTATATGTCTGTCTGCCTAACCAAAACCAAAAATAAATTCCCCAAGGAAAAGAAACTCTGTACGTAACTAACTATATAGAAAATACTCAAGAAATATTTAAAGGAGAAATGAATGAATAAACCTGAAACATTTTTTAAAAATGTTTCTCAATTTTTCATAGTAGTATATTGTACACCTAGGATTCCAACGTCAGATTTGTTTTCAACCTAAGAGTACTTGAAACAGTTTCATCTGCATCTTCTAATCAAGATCTATTTTTTAAACTTAATTTTAGGACCTTTGCTAATTTTCTTATTATTATTTAGAGTGGTGTTTGTCAAAGGTTTTTTATGGAAGAGCTGAAGCCACACCAGATTGCAAACTAGATCTATATTAAGAAAACTATATCTTTCAGTAAAGGAGACCCTGAACTGTCCTCAGATTTTAGTTCATTTATTCATTCCTCAAATTCAGTGTTCATTGTGTATTAAGATTGCAAAAAAATGTTTTAAACACTGTAGAAGAGATTGGCGAGAAGTCAGAGAAATACAGAAGACAGGAATATATCCTAAGTTAGAAATAACTGACAAGTATTAAGAAAACACCATGAGAATTAGGAGATGAGAGAAGGTTGAATCTATTTGAAGCTGCGGGTATGTGTTAGAAATTATTTGGTTGAGGGACTCTCTTAGGGAAACATTTGCATTAAATCATGTATTTTAGCCATTTTAATGCATATCTTTCTTGCCAGGTTGCATACGGAGGTTCCCATGCTGTGACGTTAGCATAGACTCAGGAAAAGGAAAAATCTGGTGGAATATCAGGAAAACATGCTTTAGGATAGTTGAACACAATTGGTTTGAAAGCTTTATTGTTCTCATGATCCTGCTCAGCAGTGGTGCTCTGGTAAGTAATCTGACACCCAAAGCAATAAGTTGATTGTCAGTACTTAATGAATTGGAAGATAAAAATACCGTAGCAAGTTGTTTGTTTTACGAAAAGGAAAAATCTGGTGGAATATCAGGAAAACATGCTTTAGGATAGTTGAACACAATTGGTTTGAAAGCTTTATTGTTCTCATGATCCTGCTCAGCAGTGGTGCTCTGGTAAGTAATCTGACACCCAAAGCAATAAGTTGATTGTCAGTACTTAATGAATTGGAAGATAAAAATACCGTAGCAAGTTGTTTTACTAACCATTAATCCCTATGATTAGTACCAAGGGTAGAATTTTAGTTCAGGTCAGTAAATACTCACTGAGCACTTCTACATGCAGGGCATTCTTGCTGCCCTGAATGCAAAAATGGGTAAGACCCAGGTAAGATAAGGAACTTGGAGAGCAATTGGGGAAGAAAGGGGTACCAGTAATGAAAGTTTATAAGTGAAGAATGTACTGATAAAGCCTGTAGCAAGAACCATTGTCTGTTTGGGATTTCAGAAAAGTAGATGATGTTTTGCAAGATCTAGCTAGAAAGATTAATAGTAATTTTCCAGTGAGGGGAATGTAGTAAATTGAAAGGAAGCATAAAACAGCATCAGATATACAGGATATTAAAAGTTGGCATACTTAGGAAGTGTTATGGGAGGAAGAGCAAATACAGAGATGGAAGTGGTGGCCAGCGATGCTGTGACAAAGATAGGCAGTGTCAGCTTATGAAGCATCCTGGGTACTATTCTAAGGGAAAATAAACTGCAGTTTTAGGGTGACAGTGGACAAGTTTCTCAGTCTTTTACGTATACCGAGCACCTTCAGTGAGAGTTGAAGGGAATCTGGGAGTTAAGAGCTCCCTGAGCCTTTTCTTAATTTGTTTTTCTTCCCTGCTGACTAACAGAGATGAGCCATTAGAAGCATAGTTCCAGCTGGAGATACCACTGGAAATTCCATTCTACTGAAAGCAGAATTTGCAAGAACTTTATAAATTGCCTCATAGACAGTCTTCATGGATCTGGGATTTGATTTTACTCTTACAAGAAGTTAACCTGTTACTGTTTTGTGTGTGCTGGCGGAAGATGTGAGACTTCCGAGTCAGAGACAAAGGACTTGATTACTCATGGCATAAAAGGCAGCATGAACTTCAACATGTTTGTGTTGGTCCTCGTTGTCCCCAACTCCCATGGGGCCATAGCATGGAGCTAAGTGTACATGGCACACACAGTGGGTTAGCATCACAGCTGACAAGCACTGAGCTTAGGGAACCCATCCTCTTATAACAAGCAGTAAGCAACCTGGCTCTTTGTCCTCGAGGGTAACACCATCTCATCTCTCAAGTTTGCTTGTTGTAAAAACAATCCTGAGAAATGGCCTAGATCAAGAGTAATCCAGCCTTGAATTCTTGGCACACCCAACAAAAACACACAGGGACGTTCAGGGGGGACAGTAAATTGCCTCTCCTAACAATTCTCCTCTCTCAAAAACAGGAGATGAGTACGAAATTGCTACTTCACTTATCAGGTGAAATGCAAGTAGGAGTCTTGACAGTGTCTACATTATCTTGTATTCCTAATGACTAAGGAAGTTTATCCCATGCTGAGTCACATAATATAACTAGTCTCAGAAAGGAGATTACCAAAAAATTATAGAAAAGCTTAGAGTAATGCCTTGTTCAAAATGTCTAAAAAGGAAGATACCATTTTTTGGGGAAATAAATAAAAAGTAATAGCTCTAATTTAGTACATATTTGTTGTATTTCAAGACCTTTATATAGGTGTTCTCCTTTAATTTTCAACAATCCTGTGAGATTATGGATTTTGCTTATTTTACCAATGAAGAAGCTAGTTATATAGTGTTAACAGTTGCTTAATGTCTCAGAGCTAGTAAATGACAGAGTCATAACTAAGGTCAAAGTCAAAGCCACTGTACATTTTACTATTCTGTGGCTCCTCAGGAAGGGGGGTGCATACCAGACAGGTGAGTAAGTGGTAACTGAAATGAGTAATAGTAAAGCCCACACCCCAAGTCAGATAGAGCTCATATAATGCCCTGCTTGTCCCCTTGCTCTCACATCCACAAAATTAGTCCTAGAAGCTAGGAGCCCCATTTCAGGCTTTGGGACTTGCCAAGCAAGGTGTGCTCAGGCAGAGTATTTGGCTTTCAGCATTTACTGGTCCTGCTGTGCACCCCAGGCCCAGGAACAGCACTCTTCTTTGTGACCAAGCCCCTTCCCTATCTTCCGCCATAGTTTCTGTCTGAGTAGCTGGCCTGATTCCTGCAGAACTTGGAGAAGGGAGGCAGAAAAGTCCCGAGGGCTGGAAGTCTCCCCTGCACTTTAATTCCACTGACTTTCAGAACCTCTGCCAGCTGCTGAAACCTTCTTTTAGCATCTTAGTAATCTGCCCATTCTCTCCGTCCCAACTTCTCTGTTTCCTTCAATATTCATACCAACAGTTTGCACAAAGTGCTTGGGATCATTTTTAGGGTATTGATAGGTGAATTTGGAATAAGAAGAATAAGAATGGCACAAGGCCAGGCTTATGGACAGATAGTATTATGTTAATCACTAAGGTTACAGGCCCTTTTGCTTTAATTTTCTTCACCATGGTAAATATTGTTTAAACTTGAAAGAGAAAATTCTTACTACAGACCTGTTTGGGTCAGCAATCATTTTCAATGTCTTCAGTGAGCTCAGGCTCTTTAAGTTTATTCAAATTATTTCCCAAGGAACTTGTGGCTGTGGTTTGTTACTGGGAGAGTGTTAAGGGTGCCACATTCATGGAATGAATATGGGAGTGATTTGTAGAACTGAAGCTTTTAATGAATGATAAAATATTGTGCAAAATTCAAAGAAGAAATCAACCTCTATGTTCTATAGTCATCCTAAGCTCCTGCGCATGGTCATTTAGCAAGCCCTTCTGCTCTTCCTGCTGTGTTCCTGGGGATGCATAAGCATGTAAGACCTGAAGGAGGGGCTCCAAATCCTACTGTTGTAGGAGAGTGCAGGGTGAGAAAGATATAGCAGAGTGGCTGACCCTGGAAACAGGGTCTGAAATTATCATGTCTTATCCAATTTGAAGAGGGATAAAAGAGGAATCAGATGAAGTGGAAGTCCTTGCAAGTGCCAGAGATCTGGTTTTTTTCAGAATATTCAAAATAATTTCATTCCTTTGTGACCCCTTTCTCTTCTCATGACCTCTGGTGACTAGTGGCATGCACTGATGGTGAGAAGTCTAGAACTGGTGTCACACAGTAGCTGTAAACCAGAAGAAACTCAGTTGGCTCATAATAGTATTATTATATTTCAGTGGTTTTCTTCATCAAAATTTTTATTTCCTGTTTTTATTATGAATCATAAGCTTTTAGTTGGAAATGAATAGAAATTTGAATATTATTTCCACAGGCTTTTGAAGATATATATATTGAAAAGAAAAAGACCATTAAGATTATCCTGGACTATGCTGACAAGATATTCACTTACGTCTTCATTCTGGAAATGCTTCTAAAATGGGTAGCATATGGTTATAAAACGTATTTCACCAATGCCTGGTGTTGGCTGGATTTCTTAATTGTCGATGTAGGTACTTTGAATGAAATTTCAAAGAGGATTTCGTGTGATGATTAAGTGTTCTGCTAAGCCTTCACTAATGTTGTATATTATAATTTTGGTTAGCTTTTTGTATTTTCTGTCTATAGGTTTATGCTTTTAGAAATATTAATATAGCCAGTAGATATCTGTGAGGAATAATAAAAGAGAAACTTTTCAACAAATGTAAATTCTTTTCTCTACCATTATAACAATTTACTCTTGCATGTGTTTTTTGCAATCAGAGAAGATGTGATTTGGATATCATTCCTGTTGGTAATATGAACAGAATGAACAATTGGAAAGTAAGGGGTGGGAATGGAAAAGGGCAGAAACACAGGTTAAAAAGATAAAATACTGATTTTTTTTTTACTATATAAAGTTAGAAGATAAGGCGATGGGTGCATCAAGTTGTCTTTGTTAGCTAAAAGTTATATAAAAATGGTAGTTAGTACTAAAGCAAATAACTCCATGTTAGAGCGAAGAGGGTGTGGAATTTCAAAGTATGTATCCTAATGACAATGAATGGGAAAACCAAAATTAGTCACAGCTCTTATCCCCATTCAAACACCCAACTTACCATTCATCTCTAGAGTGGTGGTGGAGCAGAGAAATTGGCGTTAGTAATTTCAAATAACAAATTCACAGAACTGTTGAGTACTTGGATGAAAGAAAATACATCAAAATGCTTCAGTTTATGTATTATTTTTAACAAAGCAAAAATATTTTTTAGTCATCATCTTGAAATAGTCAGGAAACAGATCCTAAAACAGCTTGTGAGATCAAGGCATCTCACATAGAAATTAAGTGGTACAACCCATTATTGTCAAGTCATTCTTATTTTGTGTACTCTAATTATTTTAGTTTATATTTTCTTGATATAATTTAATTATATAAAATAATGTAATTGTTATATGATATTCTATATTATTTAAAAAGGCTTCCTTAAATTAAGCTATGACCTCAAACTCCTAATTTTATTTTTCTCAGAATGAATTATTTCTTCATTCTTATATTAATTCTCCTAGATTTTCCAAAATCTAGTCTTTGTTGTTAAGAAAGAAAGATTCTATAATAAGTCATAGTTTTTAGAGATTTTTTTCCCATCTGATGTCTGGAATTAGAAGACAACATGCAAATTTTTAGAGTACCAACAAGTGCTCTAACATTTAACCAAGAGTTCGCATTATGAAACTTTTCAGAAAGGGTAAATCAATGCAACAGTATTCATAGATATCAAAATTATATGTAAGCATGACTATAAACAACAAAATCTGACTGCAAAATTAAGCCAAAACTAATTATATCTACTCTAAAGTTCAGTTTCTCAACTGTTAAACTCTAACAGCTCAATGTATTAAATATTAAAAGTAATAACAACTTTTTTATTTTCTATATAGGTGATATGCAAAAAAATTTTTTCCCAAGGTATACATAGCACCTCTTATGCGCTCTTGGGCTTTCTAGTTTTTGATGGCTTATATTAATGACTTCATATTGTTTGTTTTTATATTCGCCTTTTATGTATATGTTACCTAGTTACTGCCTAGGATGCTTTTGTAATATAATAGTTTTAAAGAAAGGCTAACCAAAATAAGAAAAAATGATAAAAGAAATTTAGGTTATTTCTTTCTCTTAACCTGTAACTATGATGGTTCTTTTAAAAGTTATTTTAAAATATTTAAGATATTCAAAAACCTTTAAAATGTTACTATAAACATGTTATTTTTATCACTCCACTTAGGAAATAAAAGTTTACAAGTAGAATTGAATTTCTTTTAAATTAAGAAAGAAATATAGCCATAATAACAAATTACTTTTTGTATTTGAAAATATGAAGTGGTGATATGAAGGGTTATGTAATAAGCAGAACTTGGGGAGGTATGTAGCTTCGATTTGAAATATTATTTAATATTTTGAAAAAACAGTAAATAAGTATTTATCTATAATTATATAACATATTACACATATATTTGATATGGAATGTTTCTATAATGTAACATGGAGAGCAAAGTTGCACACAATATTCTTGCTGGTAGAGATGAAAACTAGGGATGTAGATTTGAGGGAGGAGCTGAGATTTTTTTTAATTTTTCAAAGATTGAGCAACTTATCTAGTCTAGTTTTTCTCAAAGTGTGATTCTTGAACCAACATCATTGGCACATATAGGTGGGAACTTATTAGGGATACAATTCTCAGAACCCACCTAATATCTACTGAATCAGACACTCTGGTGTTGGGACCCAGCATACTGTTGTAACGAGCCCTCCAGATGATTCTGGTGCATATTCAAGTTCCTGAACCACTGATCTGATTTGATATTCAGAGAATGGACTTGTTTGATTTCTGCAGGCTTTTTTATTATTTGAAACTTAATTGAACATTATTCATAAGTATGAGCATATATAGTGTGTGTGTATATATATATACATATATATATGCATATTTAGGTAAATGGATGTTTATGCATATATACTAGTATATTCTCAGTTATAGACTATACTGTAGTTTTCTCAATAATTTTCAGCTGTTATATTCAATATAATAACCCTATCACGAAATCATGATTCTTCACATTGCTTTTATATAAGGTTTATATTAAAGTTTAGATGTAGTTGAGTTAATTCCATATGCTCTTATGAATTAGCTTTAGAATCACACATTTTGTTATGTCCTGGGTTTTATTTCAATTAAAATTTTTATAGCTGCTCTCATTAAATGTTCAGAATTAATATGCAAAAGTACATAACCATGGACTATCAAAGTGTGAAAGGTACATGTGATTTTTTTCAGATATAAGAAATAACTTACTTTCCTTCTATTGTTGCATTTTATTTTGGTTAACCTTCCTTTCTATCTATTTCCTTGCAAAGCATTCCTCTTACCCATTGTTTTAGGCAATGACTAGATAACTTGATATATAAAATTATATTGTTCTTGTTGAGCTGCTCTTAGTGATCTTTCATGATTATTTCATTCAAATAATTAATAAAAATTTTTTTTGCAGGTTTCTTTGGTTACTTTAGTTGCAAATACTCTTGACTACTCAGACCTCACCCCCATTAAATCCCTTCGGACACTTAGAGCTTTAAGACCTCTAAGAGCTTTATCTAGATTTGAAGGAATGAGGGTAAGAAAATACTAAACTTTCTAACATAATTTGTTTACACTTTTATAATATTCTTATTTTATAAATGGAGTATAAAATGTGAAAAAATATGTTTTAAAATTAATAATTATATTCTTATTTTATAAATGGAGTATAAAATGTGAAAAAATTAATATGTTTTAAAATTAATAATTATGGGCTGTTTCTATTTACACATGCATATAAGTATATGTATATATATGAACTACTTATGTATATAAGTGTGTGTGCATGTGCATATACACTCAATTGTTTAGTGCATATGTTTAACAAAGAATAAATCAAATATTATTAGGCAATGATCCAAATAAGTAGCTTTTCCCTTCTAAAATAGAAATCTTCCCTATGCTAGAAGATCAAGTGAAGGGGACACTGTTAGTCCTGAAAACATCTCTCATATATAAGTCATCAAGGACTTGCCTGTATCAGGTGCTCAAATAATATTTTGTAAAGAACTACCTTAGGTATGGGGGCATAAGAAAAAAAAGAAAGTGAAGTAGCATCTGCCATACTTTTAATTTCATCCTTAAAAATAAATATTTCAATAAAAGTAAAATTGTCTCCAAACTATATCTGAGAAAACTAAAGCTCTGACAGTTTCCATAATTTGCACTAGGCTGCATAGCACCAGAAAAGAGATTCATTTTACAAAGGCAAACAAGGTGAGATAAATGATGACTACCAGCAACCTAATTTTAAGGGCTGTACAAACCAGCAAGTTCTTTCTAAAATACACAGAGGACAATGACTTTAGTTTCTCTACTTAGTCTATATCCATACTGTTGTTGCTCTCCTCATTTTCTTCTTTTCTAGATTTATACCTGTTTTCTCATGCCTCTGTTCTCTTGGCCGGGAATCATCCCTCATTCATCAATGTAGCAGATAAATACCTACCCATTCTTTAAGCCTCAATTAAAAATGTGCCATGTCTGCCCACCACCAGGCATAATTAGGCATCCTTTCTCTAAGTTCAGATACATATAATCCTTATTATCTTATATTTATTTATCAGACTTCCTCTCTTCCTATAGTCTCCGAACAATTTAACATGCAGATCAGACTAGCTCCCTGCTTCCCTAAATGTGCTCTACTGATCAGCTATCAGCGTCATCAGAACTGATTAGAAATACAAATTCCCAGGCTCCACCCCAGACCCAACTGGTTCAGAAACTCTGGGATAGGGCTCAGAAATCTGAAGCCTCCGGTGAATATTAGCGATGGTTTAGCCTAGCAAATCTTCGTTATTATTCCTGCTACCCTATGACTGTCACCTCTGCTGCTTAATGCACCCAGTGTATGATGGATCCATGTATATGAGAGGTCCTGATTCTATAAAATAAATTTCATAAATAAAATTGAAGTACTTTTTCTCATGAGAATTGAAAAATTACAAGTTACATTTTATACAGAAATATGGTTTTGAATTTATTGACATTACCTCCCTTTTTGAGCATTAGCAGAATGCTACAATTTATCCAGAACTTAAGATGGATCCCTGAACTTGAGCAGACGTTATACTGAGTTTTATGAACAAATAACATACTTTCCCCTACAAACTTACTTCCCTCAGTGATTAACCCAGCCCATTATTTTACCGTTTTCTTTGTTCTTTATCTATGATAATAAAAGCATAATATGCTAATTAGACCAATTGTCCTTCCAGATGTCCTCTTGGACGACCTTCCAGATGAAGTCACAGGGGCAGGGGCCGAGGCAGAGACGGCCGCAGCGGGGTGGGGGCCAAGCCCCTTGCACAAATTTCGTGCATTGGGCCTCTAGTCTATAATACAAGTGAATAGTTTAATATATTTGGAAGGGAAAACATGTCTATTTTATCACATTTATTAGGCATGTTAAAAAGGAGATGTTTCTTCATGCTGTGTCATTTTGAAAAAGAAAGTAAATAATGATTTGCAGCATTTTGTAATCTTGAGGTTTGACTGAGTAGGGACAATGGTCATGGAGAGATAGATAGGGGAACAGTATTTCTTCTTTGGCATCTGCCATGAAATAGTAATCATACAGTGCCACAGGAACATAGAGGTGGGTGTAGCTGCCCAAGGTCATCTGGGAAAGCTTTGCCAGGAAGTGACCTTGGGCCATGACTGAGAGAGGGGGCCCCAAGACACAAGCAGGTCAGCATTCCAGGCAGAGATGCTACATGGCAGAGAAGCACGAAGTCCCGTGTGCAAGGCACATGTGAGCAACGTGAAGGATCAGTGTGCCTAGCTCAGTGGTCAGCAAACTCATTAGTCAACAGAGCCAAATATCAACAGTACGACTGAAATTTCTTTTGAGAGCCAAATTTTTTAAACTTAAACTATATAGGTAGGTACATTGTTATTAACTTAATTAGGGTACTCCTAAGGCTTAGGAAGAGCCACACTCAAGGGGCTAAGGAGCCGCACGTGGTGTAAAACAACTCCATTTATTATCTCACACTTCTGTATGTCAGAAGTCCAGAATGGTGTGGCTGGGATCTTTGCTCAAGGTTTCACAAGGCTGGAATCAAAATGTTGCCCAGGTTGAATTCCTTCATGGAGGTCTGAATAAAAACCTACTTTCAAGCTCACTCAGGGGGTTGGCACATTCAGTTCTGTGTGGCTCTAGGACTGAGGTCCCCCTTTCTTTGACACTTGAGCCTCTCCATCTTCAAGCTAGCAACAGCAGGTTGGATCCTTCCTGTGCTTCCAATCTCTCTGCCTTCCTCTTCTGCTTTTAAGAGCTCTTATGATCACACAATCCAGGTTTATCTAGCTGTTTTAAGGTTAACGGATTAAAAACCTTAATTACAACTGCAAACTCACCTTTGCCATGTACTATAACATATTCATCGGCATAAAACCAGAGTTGAGGTCATAGGGGTCAAAATTCTGCTTCCCACAGCTTTTGTATCAACCCCTTCACTCCATTCCAGCTTCTGGAAACCTTTGATCTGATTTCTGTCCCTATAGTTTTATTTTTTCCCATAATGTCATGTAAATAGAATAATACCATATGTCGCCTTTTGAGTCTGTGTTGTTTTTTTTTTCCCTCTCAGCGGAAGGCCCTTGAGATATATCCACAATGTTACACAGATAAATAGTTCCTTTTTATTGCTGAGTAGTATTTCATTGTATGGATGTGTCACAGCTTGTTTCACCTACTGATGAGAGGGTCCAGGCACAAATACAGCCTAAATATATGAGTAGTGCTCACATTCAGTTTAACAGAATAGCACTATGGTGCTATTCTTCCTGACCTAGTGCTCTGAAGCTACTTTTGGTTGATGATTTTCCCTCCAAACACAGGACTAGATCTTCTTCAGATTTCTTATGGTTCTAGAACAGTGGTCGGCAAACTCATTAGTCAACAGAGCCAAATATCAACAGTACAACGATTGAAATTTCTTTTGAGAGCCAAATTTTTTAAACTTAAACTATATAGGTAGGTACATTGTTATTAACTTAATTAGGGTACTCCTAAGGCTTAGGAAGAGCCACACTCAAGGGGCTAAGGAGCCGCACGTGGCTCGTGAGCTGCAGTTTGCTGACCACGGGCCTAGCTGATAAGCACACAGGGGAGGCTAGCAAGAAATGAGGATGAAAAAGTAGGCTTGAAAAAGAGTTGGCCACTTTGAACTGTATTCTCTTAGCCTGTTCCTCCTAACTTTTGTATACTGTATGAATCTCATGAAACTATGAATCATCTCTCCGTAAAGAAAGCAAACCCATAATGTTTTTAATAGGATTTCATGCCCACATAGAATCTCTATGGATCCATTGACCCCAGGATAATAACTATTGTTCTGGACCAGGGGTCAACATACCAAAGCCACAGTTGTAAAGGGAGTGTTGTTGGATTTCAGCCATGCACATTTGTGTATACTCTTACTACAGTGGCAGAATTGAATAGTTGCAATAAAGATCATATCACCCTCAAAGCCTAAAACTATTTAAGAAAATGTTTGCCAACCCCTGCTCTAGACAATCTCAAAGGTAATCAGAGACCCTTAATGTTTCACCAGTTAAAGATGACTTAAAAGCTTGCTTGATATATTGCAAAAAAAAAAACAAAAAACAATGGGAGCACAATGCTTAACAAATTAGTCTTTTACACATTTGCACACAAATTTGGACTAGAGCTGAGGTATCTGAAGACAGGTAGGTTTTGAAGGACCGGGTAATTAAGAAAATCTGAGAGTGATAAATGCTGCAATGGTCGCCATGCAGGAAAACTGGAGTGGCAAGAGGCACTGGTGATCAATAGCAATGGAAATGCTTAAAAGCAGGAAAAAAAGTATTAAAGATAAATTACACTTCTTTTCTGTTTTAACTAAGGCCCAGCACTATCTATATTTAGCCAAGGACCTACAGAAAGTATTTTTGGAGTCGGAATAATAAATTTGAAAAGATTGCTCTCGTTTTGCAGACAAGGAAACAGAGGTCCCAAGGTCTTAACTGAATTCACATACCACACAACTAGCAGAATCAATTAAATCTAGAGGGTTCATACCTCTCAATGATTCTTAATCTTAACTCCAGCTAATACATACCAGCAATTTTTCTATATGGGAGAATTTTAGCACTGGTAATACTAGGACTGTAAACCTTTAACTGTACATTTTATTTATTTTTTTATGATTTATGTTTATAAATTTCTTTTTTTCTAGAGTATGCAGATTTTACGACTTCATCTTACATGTATCAGGTTTTGGTTTATTATTTTTTATTTACTCGTTTCATTTATTTAAGCTTTCATGGCATCTTAGTTATTTTGTTTTGTATTGTTACTCATAGTTTCACTGTGTGCTCATGTATTTTTGTAAACATGTTTATCACAGGCGTCTTGTCTTGTTTTGTCTTGCTTAGCATACTGCTGAGCACATAGTAGGCATTCAATTAACATATGTTGATTGCTTTGATTTGATGTCTTAAACATTTAAGGGTGGCTTTTCTAATTTCTCTAATTCTGCATTTTGTTTCATTAATGTTGCCCGTTTGACAGTTTTATGAATCCTAATCATTCTTTTCTTTCTTTGAATACCAGGTGGTCGTGAATGCGCTCATAGGTGCAATCCCTTCCATCATGAATGTGCTACTTGTGTGTCTGATATTCTGGCTGATATTTAGCATCATGGGAGTAAATTTGTTTGCGGGCAAGTTTTATGAGTGTGTCAACACCACAGATGGGTTACGGTTTCCTACAAGCAAAGTCCAAAATAAATCCGAGTGTTTAGCACTGATGAATGTTAGTCAAAATGTGCGATGGAAAAACCTGAAGGTGAACTTTGATAATGTTGGACTTGGTTACCTGTCTTTGCTTCAAGTTGTAAGTGACCCCTTTCATGAATGCTTGATATTGTAAGGGACCCTGACAGACGTCATTATTTTAAATAATCTGCTAACTAGAAGTTAAAGATAAAGTACTTTGTGACTTTAAAAAGAGACTTGGTGTCAACTAGAACAATTGCCTATAAAAATGAGTAAAAATCGTAAGTTCTTTTGTACTTGAGAGTTATTGCTCCATAATTGACTTGTTGGTGTCATTTGGCCCCTCACCATTGTACCATCTGAATATTGCTTCAAAATGAATAGTCATTTTTCTGAACTGACAGTTTTGCACTACATGGGAATGAGAAAGACTTCTCATTAGCACAGAGCATCTTTAAGAAATGGAGATAAATTGTTTCCTGCCTTTTTTATAAAATTCTCCCCTACCTCTAGAAAAATAAAAATCATGTGCAAAATTTTCAGGAATTGTAATAGCCTGGAAATAACTGAGTAGGACTAAGATTTAGAACATGACCCCAGAATGTGTCCCTTTTTTTCTTGACATAGTACCTTTATATTAAATTGGTATTTTGAAATACAACAAAACTTAGTGATTTGATATTACTTAATGCATGTAACATTAAATGGACTAAACTCATGTGTTGCTGCTTTAAAGTATGAGCTTCAAATTCAGATTCTATAAATGTTATATTTGCAGGCAACATTTAAGGGATGGATGGATATTATGTATGCAGCTGTTGATTCTGTTAATGTAAGTATTGGTCAACATTAAAATAAAATCTACAATTTTAAAAAGCTCCTTAGTTTAGTTTAGCCATTTTCAAACAGTAGCAACAAGGAGTCCTTGGTATGTACACACAAACCAAAAAACTTCCACCTAACAGTAGCCTAGTGACTAGGTATGCAGCATTTGGAGACAGACCTTGACTCCAGTTCTCGCTCTATCATATCATGCAAGCTGTGCAACTGAATCTGAACAAATTCCCTCTCTGAGTGTGTTTATTGATTATATACAGAAAAATAATTCAGTGCCTACTTCATGGGGATCCAACATGAAAATGCAAGTAGAGCACTTAGCACAGCCTGGAAATAATAAGTGCTCAGTAAATAAAGTTTATCAAAATAAAAATGAAATAACGGATTTTATGAATAGTTTTTATTTTTATATTTTTAAAATTTTTTCATTCATTTCAGAGAGAGGAAAGGAGAAGGGGAGAGAGAGAGAAACATCAATGATGACAGAAAATCATTGATCATCTGTCTCCTGCATGTCCCCTACTGAGGATCAAGCTGCAACCCAGGCATGTGCCCTGACCAGAATCAAATGGTGCCAACCATTGAGCAACACCAGCCAAGACAATTTTATATTTTAAAGTGGCATGGAAGCGTTTTCAGTGGTTCTCAACCTTCTGGCCCTTTAAATACAGTTCCTCATGTTGTGACCCAACCATAAAATTATTTTTGTTGCTACTTCATAACTGAATGTTGCTACTGTTATGAATCATAATATAAATATCTGATATGCAGGATGGTCTTAGGCTACCCCTGTGAAAGGGTCGTTCGACTGCCAAAGGGTTCGCGACCCACACGTTGAGAACCGCTGGTTTATATGAAATAACTTCCACACTAAGAAAGCTAAATCCAGTGAAGACATTTCTGTAATTAAATGAAAACAAAAATAAAACAAAATTTATGTAAATATGCTATCATCTCTTCTACAGTTTTTTTCTGGAAATAAAAAAACATACTTTAGGTCATTTTGTTACTAAATTGTCCTACCAATGTGAGAACAAGTACTCTATATGATTAAGCCCTTTGTAATTATTTGAAGGTTATATTCATGTATTTAGTGAGCATGTAATAAATACTTAATGTTGGAAAATTTTTTAAGAATGATTTTGTTGAACCTCACTAATATGGCTTCTGAAAAAGCTAATTCACTAGAATAGCATTGTTTGGATTACCTTATGAAACCATGTGAAAAAGGAAAGTGATGAATGTATTGTCAACATACTAACTTTTGTTAATTACTTCTAATTTTGTAGGTTGACAAGCAACCCATATATGAATCCAACCTCTACATGTATATTTATTTTGTCATCTTTATCATCTTTGGGTCATTCTTCACTTTGAACTTGTTCATTGGTGTCATCATAGATAATTTCAACCAACAGAAAAAAAAGATAAGTATTTTAAGTTTCTTTCATTGCACTGAAAAATAGGAACAATTATTTTTCCAAAAAATATAGTGTGAAATTTAATTTTATATCAATTAGTAATTATCTTCATTAGAACTTCATTTTTTTAAACAATTGGCCAGTGTATAGTTATAGATATATTTAATCTCATTTATCTCTGCACAGAAAGTAATCTTCTAAGTCAGAACTATTTTTAAACAATATGACAACTATTCTGTTTTTTTCGATGTTCCCTGTAGAGGATTGAATAATTAAGAAAAAGTAATGCACTAATTATTTATTGAAAACGCATTTCACAAATGTTACTTTCTTCCGTTCTGAGCCACTGTTCTGTGTGGTATGTCTAGGGCTGGTGCTTGAGGAAAAACAACATAAGATATGCTCCTGAGCTCAAGTTTATATTATAGCAGAAGATGTGATACATGTATTAGAAATGAAGATGTATTGAATATGGCTAGTGAGGCATCCCAGGAGATTTCTGTTTTAACTATTGGAACATTTTATAATCTCCCCTTAGTTTTCTCCCATCCTTCCTTATGTTGCCAACTAGGGTATGAATCATCAAAAAAAGATAAAATCTGCACTTTGACTTTTTCTTCTAAGTCAGAATTCTCTTCCCAGTGTTTTCATAGCTTTTCTTGGTAAATTCTTGATATGCTATGGTAATCAGCCCCCATCAGTATGCAATAAAGGATCTAGGCTTCTCTTGACATTGGTATGAAGGCTCTCTCTCATGCCTACTGTCAATAGATCAGATGAATACTAAAATTACATAAAGACTGCATATCAACTAGAGGGGAAAGGTGAATTAGAAGACTCTAAGACAGAAAGGGGAGTCTGGTTATTATATAGGCATTTGATAAATCTTTTAAGATACAATATAATAGAAAGCTGAATATTCCCTAACCCCAAAAAACTAAAGAGAAACCATAACCAGATCATCTTTAACTCCAGGATCCTACAAGTTAAGTAAGGATTTCAGAACTAAATAATTATTACATGTAATACATATACTTTATATATGCACATTATATTAAGTATGGAGAGTCATGTGCCTACACATAGGTAATCCTTTAAGACAGGTTTTATGTATAGCTACATTGCACATAATAAACTGCATTTCATTTCTATATTAATACATTTTCAACCTGTCTTAATAATCTGAGGAAAAATTTAGACAATGATTCTGGTTTTAACTAGATTTCTTTTTTTTTTTTTTTACCTTGGAGGTCAAGACATCTTTATGACAGAAGAACAGAAGAAATATTATAATGCAATGAAAAAGTTGGGATCTAAGAAACCAATATATATATATACATATATATATATATGTATATATATATGTATATATATATTTTTAGCATGTAAATTTTCAAATTATTTTTAATTCAACTTTAATATACAACTTTGTCTTAAGCATAAATGTTTAGCATTAATTTTGAAAAAAATTAGAACAAAATTGCTATTTGGAACAAAAGTCCTTATAAAATTTAATATATGTATTTTAAGAACTGTATCTTTTTTTGAGTGCTTAACAAATATATTATTATTATTATGTTAGCCAGCTCCACATCTCCCAGTCCACATTTTAGTCTCCAAATAGCAGTAATGATTCTGTAGCTCTTACTATGAGCTAGGCACTGTTCTAAGAACTCTACATATTTTAACTCATTTAATTCTTACAATAACTCTTATGAGGTAGAAATTATTATTATCTCATTTTATGGAGTCCGAAACAGGCTCAGAGGAGGTCAAACAATTAGGGAGGGCTAGAGTTTGAGAATTGAACCTAGATAGTTGGTTTCTAGAGGCTGAGCTGAGATGTGAGAGGGTTAAGCACTGTATCTTAATATTCCTTCTTAATTTTTAATTTTTCTATAAAAATGGAAAATAATTACATGTGCATTTACTTTTATCATAGCTACACAACTTATTCCTGCAGTGGCCTGTAGAATATGAAAACGAATGTACTTTAGATTGAATATAGCATACTAGGGTGGATACACTTAACAGTCAATGTAAGTATACAAGGCTAACTGAATTACCAGTCTGATATATTGAAAGACAACAACAAAATGTTTCATTTACTCTGACTTTGATTTAACCCATTAATAATATTTCTTGTAGAAAGCACAAACCTATGACCAGGGATAATTTATGCAAGTTTTGAAGACTGATACATTTTTTAAAAATGTTTTACTAATGTAATGATTAGTGGATACTACTTGTTAAGTTTACTCTATATTCCATTTTATTCTTGTTTATTTGCAGAACAAATTCCAAGGATGTATATTTGACCTAGTAACAAACCAAGCTTTTGATATCAGCATTATGGTTCTTATCTGCCTCAACATGGTAACCATGATGGTAGAAAAAGAGGGACAAAGCCCATACATGACTAATGTCCTCTATTGGATAAATGTGGTTTTCATTATCCTCTTTACTGGAGAATGTGTGCTGAAACTGATCTCCCTCAGACACTACTACTTCACCGTAGGATGGAACATTTTTGATTTTGTGATTGTGATTATCTCCATTGTAGGTAAGTCCATTTATTAACCAGATTTTTATATTGAATGAAACTAAACTCACACATGCTCAGAGCAGGTCCTGAATTCTTGAATATAAATTTACTTTTGAGTAAGTTAAATGAAAGAATGAAGGAATCTTAAAAAAAAAAAAAAACTTTACAAAGCAACACCTTCGTGTCAGAATTTCTGAGTTCTCACTGCAGGCCTTAAAGCCTCAAGTTTTCTATTTGTTGGGAGCACATAATACCACTTGATCCAGTATTTGATTTCCAAGATTACCCTTCACAGTGGTAGCAATTGCTTCTATATGTAGGTATATCTGAGAAGACCAATGCAGAGTCTGAAATCATTTCCACTTTTAGCATATATGAGAGCTGCCCTTTGATGAATGATAATGTTAATAGCCAGATTATTGGTGACTCTTCATGAAAATCCTTTCTGAAGTCAAAGTAAAGTTAAGGTCTCAAGAAATATCATCTTCATTTCTTATGGCTTTATATTTGGCAAGTCTACAAAACATGATCATTTCTCAGCCAACCCCAGTCATGTCTATGAATGTCAGTACATGATTTTATACTTCCTTCCCTTTTCATTTTCATCACTATTTTTATATTCTTCTGCTCATTCATTACCTGTACATGCCCTGCCCAGTATTTTAGGATTGCATTTATTTTCGAATTATAAATTCTAGGAACGGATTGAGGATATCATAAATTGGAAACAACATAAAATTCTTCACTATGTGGTTATTTTGACAAAGCATTTTACAACTATAACAAATTACTTAAGAGAAGCATCGAACAGACTGTCAAACCTCAGAGGGAAGGCAGAGGGGGTGGGGTGGTTAGAGATCAACCAAAGGACTTGTATGATGCATATAAGCATAACCAATGGTCATGGACACTGGGGAGGTGGGGGCATGTCCTGGGGGTGGGAGTGGCCGGGGAGTGGTCGATGGAAGTAAAAGGAGACATATGTAATACTTTAAACAATAAGAAAAAGAAATTACTTATTTGTCATGTGTATGGAAATATTTTCATGACATGAAGTGACTAAAATAGATTACAAAAAAAATGCTTTTGTGAAACATGATTACATTCATGTGTGTATGTATGTGTGTGTGCTTGCATAGAAAACTGTGGAGTGATACTCAACAAAATATTAACAATAGTTATGGTTGGTGATGTTTCAGGTGATTTACATTTCCGTTTTAGCATTTACTGTATTGCTTGAATTTTCTACATAGTAGGCATTATTCTCATAATTAAGAAAATTATTGTGGAGTGAAAAATTTCAATGCCCATAAACTTAGTGAAGGAGGGAAAATGTTACTGTAGTAAGTCTAATCATTTTTATATGGTATTGCTCAATACTCTAATTGCTATGAAATTTTTTTCAATAAAATGACAGTCCTGAAATTGTAAAAGATACACTAGCAGATAAAGCTATTTAGAGTCTAGATTTTCTATAGCATGGAAATGTAAATTTTTTATTTTTATTCTTTCCCTCCTCATCAGGCATGTTTCTGGCTGATCTGATAGAAAAATATTTTGTGTCCCCTACCCTGTTCCGAGTGATCCGTCTTGCCAGGATTGGACGAATCCTACGTCTGATCAAAGGGGCAAAGGGGATCCGCACGCTGCTCTTTGCTCTGATGATGTCCCTCCCTGCGTTGTTTAACATCGGCCTCCTGCTCTTCCTGGTCATGTTCATCTACGCCATCTTTGGAATGTCCAACTTTGCCTATGTCAAGAGGGAAGTTGGAATTGATGACATGTTCAACTTTGAAACCTTTGGCAACAGCATGATCTGCCTGTTCCAGATTACCACCTCTGCTGGCTGGGACGGGTTGCTAGCACCTATTCTTAATAGTGGACCCCCAGACTGTGACCCTAAAAAAGTTCATCCAGGAAGTTCAGTTGAAGGAGACTGTGGCAGCCCATCTGTCGGGATATTCTATTTTGTTAGCTACATCATCATATCCTTTCTGGTTGTGGTGAACATGTACATCGCTGTCATCCTGGAGAACTTCAGTGTTGCTACTGAAGAAAGTGCAGAGCCCCTGAGCGAGGATGACTTTGAGATGTTCTACGAGGTTTGGGAGAAGTTTGACCCCGATGCTACCCAGTTTATAGAATATAGAAAACTCTCTGACTTTGCAGCTGCCCTGGATCCTCCTCTGCTCATAGCAAAACCAAACAAAGTCCAGCTCATTGCCATGGATCTGCCCATGGTCAATGGTGACCGGATTCATTGTCTTGACATCTTATTTGCTTTTACAAAACGTGTTTTGGGTGAAGGTGGAGGGATGGACTCTCTTCGTTCACAGATGGAAGAAAGGTTCATGTCAGCAAATCCTTCTAAAGTGTCCTATGAACCCATCACAACCACACTAAAACGAAAACAAGAGGATGTGTCTGCTACTGTCATTCAGCGTGCTTACAGACGTCACCGCTTAAGGCAAAATGTCAAAAATATATCAAGTATATACATAAAAGATGGAGACAGAGATGATGATTTGCCCCGTAAAGAAGATACAGTTTTTGATAAAGTTAATGAGAACTCAAGTCCAGAAAAACCAGATGCAACCCCATCTACCGTCTCTCCACCTTCCTATGACAGTGTAACAAAACCAGACAAAGAGAAATATGAAAAAGACAAAACAGAAAAGGAAGATAAAGGAAAAGATGGCAAGGAAAGCAAAAAATAGAGCTTCACATTTAATACACTGTTTACAGCCTGTGAAGGTGATTTATTTGTGTCAATAAGACTCTTTTAAGGAGGTCTATGCCAAAACTTTTTACCAAAATATTCTCAAAGTCAGTGCAGTCACTAGCTCTGATTCCTTAAGATAGGTGGGCAGCATTAGCAAATGGCTATTTTTGCACTGGTAAATGATTCTGTAAGAATTGTAGGGTAACTCTCTAGGGATTATTGATTACAGCAGGCAAAGGTAATTTAATTTTATTTGCTTTTAATAAATCACAAGACCATGTAGGAAATGTTCACACCTGTCTTGTCATCTTTTCACAAGATTGTAAACATTCATATTTCCCATGCAAATACACACACACACACACACACACACACACACACACACACATGCACATATCTATATTTGGACATCTACAAAAGTATTTTGTCTTGGCTCTGCCATGAAATACCCTGATAGAAGGAATGGACATTAGTAATGAGTGTTTAGTTAAAACATGTTGGTGTTAGGGAACAAAACACTTTTATCCATGTACAGAGGTCATTCTATATTTTGAGGTGCTTAAATTTATTCAATATTGCATCAGAACCAATTTATATGTACCTATAAAATGCTATGGAATTAAAAACATGTGTAGGCTATTCATTTAAACAAATACTTTTTATTTATCTTGACTCATGTAACAACCAGAATTAAGATTTACCTTTAGAGTATTGTGCTTTATAGCCTGTCTTTTTTATATCCTTCTTAGTTCATACAACCAAAGAACATGAAAAATTATTCCAAGTACTACAAATCACATCCCTCGAAAGAAAAAAAATGAAGATAATTGAAAAAAGAGGCAATGGAAGAAAGCTTTATTTACTATTACTTATATAATCTCACACTACACTATGCTGCCCAAAAATACCAATAATGACACAACTTTTCATCTCTCTTGTCACATTTTTTTCTGCTGTCTCATGCACTATTGTTTAGTCATTCTTTAGCACTAGCAAAATTGTTATTTCCCTTCAATGAAGTGCTTCCTGATATGCAGATCCCTATTTAATACCATTGTACATGACTGGAGCACAGTATTTACTCCATCACCTCTATACCATCCTAAATGTGTGTGGCAAACTTTGAAGTCATAATATAAGACAAACTTTCAACCCAAAATTGTCTTTAGAATTAACAAAAAAGCATTTGACTGGGATTCTTGCCAACTTGCTTTCTTGTCACTTAATTTACTTTCCTAATTTGTACAAGCAATCCTTTTAGATGGCTAATCTTTCATCTGAAAATGAGGAGGATGTCACTTTGCACTTAAAATTCCATGACTATGAGGTATATTATGCATCAATCAATAAAGTACTCTGAGTTTATAACTTACTGAGCACATAATTCATTTTACTTTAGCTGGTGTCTTCTTACCAAGGGTTATAAATCTAGCTCTTAAGAAATTCTTGTTAATAGTGGCTTGAAAACAATGGCCATGATGAAGTTTTTCATCATTTCATTTCAGGAATATGAGGTCTTTCTCCTACCAAGTTTTACAGTTTTAAAAATTGAGTTATGTAAGGAGAAAGTAGTTTTTTTTAGATTTTGTGCGAGTTTCATTCTAGAAGATACTTCATGCTTTCTTAAATTAAAAGGGAACATGAATTATATTTCTGTAATCAGTACTTAAACATATATTTTGTTGTTATGGCTAGTTAAAAAGAAAGGATTTTTAAACATACCTATAGAGATGAAGAGGTATGGGTAGAAAATGAGAGACAGAAAGGAAAGACTAAGAAACATAGATATGGGAAAGTCAGATAGAAACAGACATTTCCACAGAACTTCCTATCTAGAAAATTTTTTAATTCTGATGTATTTTATAATGCCCATGATGGAGATTATCACTTGTAGACATTTGTCATAAGGTACATATGAAATTAAATCTAGGGCCAAAGATTCTTTACATCTATGTTCAATCATTCATCTTTGATTATTTGAGCCACTTTTCAATTTAATATGAAAGATACCATGCAGTGTTTTCCTAGATTCTGTAGAGCATTGCATCACATACCTGCTAAGCCTATTAAAAATACATTTTGACAATTTAATTAAGGAACCATACAAAATATGTTATATTTGTAAGATTTGTAATACATTAAATTAATAAATTAATATCACCTTAAATGTGAAGTAAGTCTACCCTTATTATTTTAAACACGTATAAATGTAACTGCATTTTGCATATTTATAGACTATAGTATAAAAAGATGTGTGGTGGGCAGGTTTATGTGGGATTTACTCTCAATGTTTTTACATGTCTTGATTTTTATGTAAAAGAAAAAATATTGGCAACTGATTCCTCAACAGTTTCTTCTGAGCATTTCAAAATATGATAAAGTTGCTCTTTCTCCTATTTCATGCTGAACTATAATTTTTTAAAAATATAAAATACTTGTTTTTTATACATATATATGTTTTCCCAGGAATGTCTAGTTTTGACTTTTTATCAATTAAGAACAATATTTGAAAGTAAGATATCATTCAGTACAGTGTAAACTTGAAGAAAAAGTACACTTTTCATGTAGGTTACTGTTTGGCTCTGATTATGAAATATCATTCCCCCAAGGCATTGTCATACTAATATTAAAATTACACAATCACTGAACTCATTTCACCTAATGATGTAGAATGGCAGTTACACTGTAAAATTTAAGTGAGAATAAAATGGAAGCAAACATATTTGAACGCAAATCTATACATATAAATTTGGATGAAAGTGGGAGAATCTCATTTTACCTTTTTGATTGTTACATCGTTTACAAAAGACGTAAGTGACTTGTGGGCTGATTCTTAAATGCTGGTTATTAAATCTCAACCCAAAATGTCCATCATGATTTTATAGAATTTTTAATAGCTTTATTACAAAGAGTTAAAATAAAATGCTTATGTAAATAAAGCAGTTCTAAATAGAAATTTTGGAGAAATGTTAATGAAAGTACGTAATGAAACGAGGGCCAGCTAAGTTAGTATGGCCAAGTAACTGGCCTGGGTTTAGGACCTATGTATAGAGGCCACCAATTTATTTAAATAGCTCTGGTTTATTATGTTATGTTTTTGAAGAAAACAAGAATTGCTTCACAAAATAAATGAATAGCCATGAATATAATATGCTGTTTACATAGAAGTCTTTACAAATTTTATACATCTATGAATGCTCATATTTGAGTTTGTCATCAATTAAATTGTAGTTATATTTGAGACACACTGTAACAGAATCTATAAATAAAAGGCATCAGAAAAATAAAATGTTTGTATGTATTTTCTGTTTCTGTGAGAACAACCTTTAAGGAGATAAGTTCAGTGCATCTCTAAGTAAGTTGCAGCGATTGTTTTTTTAAAAACAATGAAAGAGGAACAGTTTCAGATGTCCTCTATAAGAAGTCTACCAGGATAAGAAAGATGGGGATAAAGAATATAGAACTCTACCCTAGCCATTTGGCTCAGTGGATAGAGCTTCAACCTGTGGACTGAAAGGTCCCGGGTTTGATTCCACTCAAGGGCATGTACCTCTGTTGCAGGCTGGGTCCCAGGCCCTTGTCAGGGTGTGTGCAAGTATCAACCAATCGATGTGTCTCTCTCATATTGATATTTCTCTCTGTCTCCCCCTCCCTTTTACTCTCTCTTAAAAAAATCAATGGAAAAATATCCTCCAGTGAGGATTAACCGAGAGAGAGAGAGAGAGAGAGAGAGAGAGAGAGAGAGAGAATATAGAGTTCCAAAGCAATTCACTAAAATCCACAATAGAGTTTGTGCCAACAGGTAAAAAAATTGAGACAGGAAGTGAAATATACAAACACTTAGCCACACAATGAGAGTATGCATTTTGTGTGTGTGTGTGTAATGGCAGAGAGGTAGTAAGGCATACATAATGGCTAAAGGCTTGGGTCCCAGAACCAGAACTGTATTTGGATCCCAGTTAAGCCATGCCTCTCTGAGTTTTCTGAATACATTATTTAACCAACACATGCCTCAGCTTTCTCATCTATAAAACGAGGGTAATAGTTCTACGTCATAATATGGTCTTAAGTATAGAGGGAGAAATCCCCAAGAAGCCATTAGAACAATATCTGACAGCACAGAGTCAAGAGTTTATATTAGTAGTGGCACTTAGGGTGGCAGTCAGTTTGCCACTAAAAATATAAGAGCCAAGGCTGCCTCTCTATCATGTAGGAGCACAATGCAGTCTCCCTAAATGTTAAATAATAACAGCATTCCCTCTATTGTATATGACTTTGTGTAAATATGGTGCCCCAAAGAGTCTCATGCATCCTTTGGATATATAATGAACATTTAGTGATGTGACATATAGACCAAACTATTTCAAAATTGATAAATTTTGATATTTGTGAATTTAACATGTTAAAATTGAGAAACATGTATATTTACAAAGGTTTAGCTTAGTCTATGAAAAATTGGGGGGTGGTATTTTCCATATTTAGCTAAATAATCCAAATATCTCTTATTTGAGAAGACATAAATGACAATATATGGATGATTATAAATATCAGAGAGTAATATTGATTCTCCATACATTATGAGTCATGCATATGTTATATGTATTAGATTATGCTTCATTATATGTTCTATTACCTATGTTTTATACTATTGTATTTTATGATAGAAAGATAGTATCAGGATACTTCACTCTTAAAAGCTTCACAATTTTGGTCATAACTTAGGACAAGTTTGTGCATATCATTTTACTGCACATTTTTATGATTCTGGAAGTACTCTAGTCATTCAATTAAATAATTTATTAGCTGTTTTGCAAAAAAAAATCATACAGAAACTAACTTTTTATTCTTAGTAGTTATTTTATTTCTCATGCCTATAAATGATTGATTTTTTTTTTTACGTAAGACAGATTCAAAGTAGTCATTTCACTTTGGCAGTTCAGGCCAAAGATTTAAAGAGAAAATATTAAAATTTGTAATTAAAATAAAAATTTGTGCCCTGGCTGGGTGGCTCAGTTGGTTTAAGTGTTGTACCATATACCAAAAGGTTGCAGGTTTAATTCTTGATCAGGGCACATACCTAGGTTGAGGGTTTTATCCTTGGTCAGGGCGCATACAAGAGCCAACCAAATGATATTTCTCACATCCATGTTTTTATCTCTCTTTCTCTCTCTCCCTTTCTCTCTCTCTAAAATCAATTTTCAAAAACATATCCTCTGGTGAGAATTAAAAAATAAATAAGTAAAAACTTGTCCTTCTGCTTGAATCTAGGACATTATTATCCTTGATGTACTCAGTATGGAAATTAAGAAGTAATTTTAATACAATTTTATGGATGCGAAATAGATACTGAAGGTCTACCGAAAATATTTTTTCTTTAAAAACATTAAGCTCACAACTACCAAACTTTTAAATATCAAAATTCAATTTGACTCCCTTTAAGAAACTAGTAAAGATAGAGTTGTCTTGTAATCTCCCTAAACTCAGCACATCTTGATGTTGGTGCTCTCAATAGAATCAGCTCTGATAAGAGAGGATGGAGAGAAAACAAGTGGGAAAAGAATTACTTCTTGCTTCATTTTCCTGCCTAATTTATTTCCCTTTACATATTCATCTTACTCTAATCATCTCATTTTTGACCCTGAATTCAGAACAAAGATTGCAAATTGGTTTAGAGTCTTCTAATTTTGTCCTGACTCTTGCAATGAAAAGAAATGTTTACCTCGAAGAAAGGACACATCGTTCATTTATTTTAGATACAAATGGGTCTGCCTCCTACAAGCCACAGCCAGAATACCACTTAGAGCCAAGTTGTGGGCAGAAAGGGATCTGGAAGGGAGCCAGGGAGAACAAGAGAAGCAATCTCCTTTAGCTTTGTGACTCTAAGCAGAAACCTGAAGAAGGACCACAAGCCAGAAGTACATGTTTGCCTGCAAGCATATTTTAATACTTTCCTTTGACATAAAGTTTAAAATTCACTAAGCCTCGTGCCTAGAGCTAGAAGAGCATGACCAGCGGTTCTCAACCTGTGGTTCGCGACCCCTTTGGCGGTCGAACGACCTTTTCACAGGGGTCGCCTAAGACCATCCTGCATATCAGATATTTACATTACAATTCATAACAGTACCAACATGAAGTAGCAACGACAATAACTTTATGGTTGGGTCACAACATGAGGAACTGTATTTAAAGGGCCAGAAGGTTGAGAACCACTGGCGTAGTCTAAAGAAGCCCTTAAAGGGCCAGAAGGTTGAGAACCACTGGCTTAGTCTAAAGAAGCCGGTGCTTGTATAGAAAAGCACAGCTGTTTGATCTGCACAAAGCTGAGGAATCATATGGCAGCTGAAAATGGCAGCCTTTGGCATTTTTTCTATACTAGAGTTTCTTTCTGTCCAGATATTTCCTCCCAGAGTAAGAACTCTTTTTTTTTCTCCCCTGTTTCTGTCATCTTGGGAGCTAAAACCTTCAAAACGAATCTCTTCCTCTTTATAGGATCAATAAAGCAAATTAGACATGACATTGAAAGCACTTAAATGTTTTTCAGAGTGCAGTATCATCTTATGCCTTTAAGAATTGTCAATAAATGTAAATATGCAAACATATACACGGTAGCATCATATTAGGTAATATCATGAGTTTTTATCTTCCTGTTACTGACAAAATGTGACTGTGAACTTGAGCTTCAGTGTCTTTATAAGAGACTGAAGTTCCTTATAGTAGTTCCAAAGTATATAAGTACAAGGTAAGAACTTTAAAGGGCAATAATTTATTATGTATTTTCTGAAGTACCTCTCAATCAAGGATTCAGTCATAAATTCAATAAAATGATATGGAGCATTTACTGTTTCCTGGAAGAATAACAGTATCATGCTATATTTCCATAATTTATCATGGACACATCAGGGAGAAGAGCCTAATCTATCAGGACATGAGTATAAACACTGAGGAAGAGTTCCTTTGAAATGGGTTGAGTATGAAGTACTCTGGGCCAAAGTAAAGAAGTCCTAAAGCAATTGAATAAAAAGGGTCTGTGCTGGAAGCCAGTTCCAGCATGTCAGCAGGGCTGAATCATCTGGGAATGGCTGAGAGACGGCACTTCCCCAAACCTGAAAAGGATGCATAAATGATTGCTTGCTGCCAGACAGCTAAAGGCATTTCAATCTACATGGTATTGCCTCCTACTGGCCAAACACCTGAACAGCCGTAGGCAATTCCCTAATCCAGGGGTCCTCAAACTACGGCCCGCGGGCCACATGCGGCCTGCCGAAAACATTTGTTTTTTTACTTCAAAATAAGATATGTGCAGTGTGCATAGGAATTTGTTCATAGTTTTTTTTTAAACTATAGTCCGGCCCTCCAACGGTCTGAGGGACAGTGAACTGGCCCCCTGTTTAAAAAGTTTGAGGACCCCTGCATCTGACCATGCTTCTGTATACAAACCCTGGCCTTTGAAGTGTATATCTACCTCGCCTTAGGACAAATTGTGTTAATAAAAAGCAAGGGGTCCAGAGACGAGGAGAACTTAGTTCCTTTAGCTAAGTCTTCTCTGATTCCCCAATATGCCTTCCAAAATTATGTTTCATCTCTGGACTCTTATTTAATTTACGCACAGCGCCTTCTCCAGACTTCTGAACCCTTCTAGATGCTGGATCAAGACCACTGGCATTAGGTCTGAAGTTCAATGAAGACATCAGGGTTAGAGACACCTATCCAGGAGTGGTTGAATCCAAAAGCACATTAAGTCAACCACAGTGTATGCATGCATGTATGCAAGTAGAAGCATGAAACAGAGCTTGAGAGAGAGTAGACAGAATATTAAGAAAGAGAAGTGCTGGCTATAGCCCAGTTGGGCAGCGGTTCTCAACCTGTGGGTCGCGACCCCTTTGGCGGTCGAACGACACTTTCACAGGGGTCGCCTAAGACCATCCTGCATATCAGATATTTACATTACGATTCATAACAGTAGCAATGTTACAGTTATGAAGTAGCAATGAAAATAATTTTATGGTTGGGTCACAACATGAGGAACTGTATTTAAAGGACCAGAAGGTTGAGAACCACTGGTTTAGAGTGTCCTCCCCAATACAAGTCAAGGAAAGAGACTACCAAGAGAACCGAGGTATGCTGGTATCTGCTCTCACTGGCTCATGAGAGCTGCACACCCTCTCTCTC